AGGATACTTTGGTAATTTACTATTTCGTTAAAGGTTAGAGGGTTATATAAGAATTTTTTTGGTGTTAGAGGTTTGGTGTTGAGAGAAAGGATGTTATAAAATTTTGATCATGAGAAGAGTCCACAAGAAATAAGTTTGGGCTTTTTATTGAGCCCATATCAGTTATTGCCTGGTCTAGGCCCAAGGGTTACGAGTCCACAAGTAAATTGCTCCCAATTATCACCACGTGGAAGTTGACATGGCAGACTATGAACCGTTGATGTAGACTTCACTTTATCTGATGGAAAATCTCCAAACATGAACCTCAGCCTTAAAAAAAATCACTCACAACTCATCACCACCTCACAAACTCTCTTTGAATGTAATTTTTATTTAGGTTCATTTCATCATTGTGTGAATTTTGCTTGAATTTGTATATTTATAAGTGAACATGTGGATCCCAAGTCTCAGTTATGCTAAGAAACATATAAAATAATTGAGTTTAAGATTTTTGAACGGTTTCACAAAAATATATCAGAATGATAGAATAATTTATGTTGCCGGAAACATAAAATTTTATTTTGATATATACAATTTAGCTGTTTAACAAAAAGATGCTATTGACGCACTAAATTCACAACATAGCAAAATAAATAAATAAACCAATTTAATGATTTATGAGCTAGTAATACTTAATTACGAAAAATATCATGAAAATCATTTTTTGGCGTAACATATATGTTTATGTGATATTTGTAGTAAGTCCTAAACTATAAAATTCAACCCCAAAAAATTAAGGGTTAATTTACCCAATAAGTCAATAACCACAAAAAAAAAAACATAATTGAAAAAGTAACAAAAAATACTGTGTGGCACAATCACAACCTTCCAATTTAGGGTTTTTGATTATTTTTTTAATTATGTTATTTTTTTGTGGTTATTGGATAAATGAACGGAAAATTTAATGTAGTAAATCTTAAAATCTAAAGAAAATGATCATCAATAACATTTGCAACATTCGAAATATTATCGTCCACGTGGCAAATCATGATCAGCCGGCTCACGAGAACCTCAATTTCCCCATCTTTGTGTTCTGTCCGTCTCTCTATATATCAAACTACCGAAACGCACGATTGTCTTAGTAGTGTGGTTAGAGGCGTTACAAGCTCTCTCTCTCGAGTATACGAAGAAGATAGCAACAATGGCGGCAAGCTCTGCTGCTCTGCTCAAGTCCTCACCGGTGAAATCTGACTGGGTTAAGGGACAGCCTCTCCTTCTCCGTCAACCTTCCTCCGTCGTAGCTGTTCGCAGCCACGTGTCACCTTCCGCTCTCACCGTTCGCGCCGCCTCTGCTTACGCCGATGAGCTCGTCAAAACAGCTGTAATTATATCAAAATATTCTCTAGTGTTTAAAACATTTTACTTTCGATTCGATTCAATTAGCTAAAAATGATTGAGTTTGGCAGAAAACAGTCGCGTCTCCGGGACGCGGGATTTTGGCGATGGACGAGTCAAACGCGACTTGTGGGAAGCGTTTGGCGTCAATTGGGCTAGAGAACACGGAGGTTAACCGTCAGGCTTACCGGACGCTGCTCGTGTCGGCTCCAGGATTGGGACAATACATCTCCGGTGCAATCCTGTTCGAGGAAACTCTCTACCAATCAACCGTCGACGGCAAGAAAATGGTCGATGTTCTTGTCGAGCAGAACATCGTCCCCGGAATCAAAGTCGACAAGGTACATCTTTAAAAGGGTTCTAGGTTTTACGCATTTCGGTTTAGGTTCGGTTCATTGTGGAGGGTAATGTATCGAATTGGGATATGTAGGTTCGTTTTGGTATGGATCGGTTTAGCTTCGGTCCCGTTTAAAAAATTCGATTTTTTTTTCACTTTCTTTTGTGCATAATCCTAAGTTCATAACCGAGTTGGAATCCCATTTGTTTCGGTTTGGTTGTTCGTTTTACAAACAAAATTCGGTTTAGTTTTTTTATTTAAGTTTGATTTAATTACGGTTCGGTTCAATTTGTCCAAAGTATATGTAAAACGAGTGTGTGTGATGATAACTTGGGGAAATGGTTTTGAATATAAACAGGGTTTGGTGCCACTAGCTGGATCTAACGACGAGTCATGGTGCCAAGGACTTGACGGTTTAGCCTCTCGTACTGCGGCGTACTACCAACAAGGTGCTCGTTTCGCCAAATGGTACGATAGTATTCTGATTGCAGAATCAATATATTGAATTGGTTATAATCGAAATATACATATATAAATTCTGTCAAATGAATTGTGTTTTGATTGAACACCTTGTAATTTTAGGCGTACCGTTGTGAGCATTCCAAATGGACCCTCTGCTTTGGCTGTTAAAGAAGCTGCTTGGGGACTTGCCCGCTACGCCGCTATTTCTCAGGTACCATATATTCCGAAAACCGCTTAGACTTACACAGCTGTTTCTCATTCTACATTGTTGTTGTATATATAC